TATTTAATATTGGCACCAGTTTCATATTTTGGTTAAAATCATCTGGAAGAATTCTCAATAGATTTTTAAATAATCTATCTCTATGCGATAGTCAAAAAAATTAAGTTAGCTTCGATGTATTAGATATAATTGGCAATCTCTTATTTGCTCGGATATAAAATTAGGTTTTTTATTAATAGAAAAATCAATATTGCTCTATTAACTTGAAGACTATTCATATTATCTAAATATAATGGTTTGATACAATGAAAATTAATTCAATAAATAATTCTTCATACACATTAGAACTCTTATAACAGAATGATAAAGATTATAGGTATAATGCCAGAGCCTCCTCAAAATGTTAAAGAAGAGGATAAACATCTTGATTTTTTAAAGGATGAAGAGGATACAGATCAAATTTTAATTTAGTACTTAAAGAATTGTCATTTCAAATTTAAAGTAATAAAAATTGGTTATTGAAGAACAGTCCCTGAAAATCAAACCATTTTTAGAATGCCAGAAATAGAAGATTTTTTGAAATCAAAATTATTTAATTCTAGTTAAGACATTAGAAAACTTAGGATTGCATAAGGTAAGAAATAAAATTGGAATTATCCCCTAATCTCCTTTCTTATTTACTGGAACAAATAGAAAAAATTTAGATAAATAAAGTCGAAATTTAGTAAAAAAACCTCTGTAATCCTCTGAAGTAATGATGATTTTAATCATCAAAAAATGCTATTGGAAATTTATAAATTGCTTGCCTCTAAGCAATCCCATTATAGGTATCATATGGAAATCTTTTAATAATTACATTATTTCTTGATCTAGGTTCAACTCTGTTTATATATATACTATTAGCATAAATAATTCAATACCAAAATATATTTTTTCAAAATACATTTAAAAGACTTATCCTTATCAAAGGATAAACTAATTTTTCAATAACTCTTGAAGCTTTATAATTTACCCATTCAGCTAAATAGTATCTAGTTGCAAATTAATATATTGTATATTGGAGAGAAGTTTCACTATAGAATATATATAATCCTTTGGCAAAATAGATAATTTACACTTTTGTAATGTAAAGGGTAGATTTCTTGAATTTAATTTTCATTATTTGTGATAAATATTGATTTTTTTTAAATTACAAATTTCCATTAAAACAGCATTAAGATTGGACATAAATGGATTTATATTAATATCAAAATTTATGTTACTAAAATATTGATACAAATATCAACTTGAGTCTGTATTTCGTTTTAATTTAAACTTAATAAATCCTAATTCATTTTTAAAGATCAAAATATGTAATGATACATAAATGAATGAAAAAATTATTTTATCTTATAAAATCCAAATTTATTAACTAATGACTTCTTCAAAAATATAATTGCTTATTAGAACTTAAATGATAAGTTGAAATTAAATATTTCAGAAAGCAAACATGTAGTTCTAAATTTATATCTTACTTACTAAAAACAAAGAAGGTTAATTTTTAATTCTGATTAGATTTAAGTAAAATGAAAATTAATTTTATCAATTATTTTTATATTGAATATTAATTTATATATATACATAAATTTAAAATTTATTAACTCATTTTGCTTTAAGTAAAAAGTAAAAAAACAAATTTCTTTTTCAAAGAAATGAAGACAAAATATGAATAGAAATAACCAATATTTAATCTCAGTTTTTCTTCCCTCTAAAAACTTACGAAGTTAAATAATCACAAGAATCACAAACTAATTAACAAAAACTTTATTAATTTTTCGAGAGAAAAGGAAAACATAGTTTAATAAAATTATCCTGATTGAAATTAAATTTTATGTAATCAGTCTTTGTTAGAGTCTGAAGTCTACTTATTTAAATAAAAATTACAGTTCTTAAGTAATAACTATTTTATCCAATCAGACTTTACAAGATTTAGAAAACAAAAATAGCAAAAAATACAAAGTATGGCTAACCCAGAATATGCTAATTATATTTCTTTAGCAAATGACCCATTTCCTTAGATATAATCAATTTAAGAAATTTATCTTTTAACTCTATCAAAGCTTTGATCTTAATAAGATTTAAATAATTTATACTTATGATACTTTTATACCTCAAAGTAATTAGAAAGTTCAAATATATTTAAGTAAATTATCAATCACAATTTATGTAATAAGTTTATTTTTTACCAAAGCCCAAGTTGAAATTATCATAACGGTTAAATATTTTATTTAAGATAGACTTTCAAAGGAAACGAATAGATATTCTTACTAAAAATCTCTTACAGATATAATTTTAATCTTAGTTGATAATATTAAATGAACATACTCGAAAATATTTATAAGGAGAAATTAGTTAAATATTTTTAGTTACTTTATATAAATTCCATATTTTAAAATACTTAATGAATTGGATGAAACTGTAAAAATTATACTTTTTACTAAATAGATTAGAATATTTATTAAATATAAAATTCTTTCTTTCTTTCATCTTGCATTAATTAGACTTTTAGGATAATTTAATTTGAATATCTAATTCAAATAATTGAAAGGTAATAATATTATTGATTAAATTTTAGAAAAATGATTCTTTCATGCTTAAATTTGAAAGGCTCAAATAACAACATAACAATTATAGGGATTACTTTTAATAAATTTTTTGTTATTCAAAAACTATCTTTCCAAAAAATAAAATTAAACTTGGAAAACATGTTAACTTTTTGTAACACTTCAAATTGACCAATAAATATTATCTCAAATGCAACATCTTTATTGATTTGCAATAATGTTATCAACTTATTTATTTCTTTTAATTCATTATTCAAATTTTTGAATATCTACTAATAATTCAATATTAATTTAAATCTTTTAGTTTTTTTTTCTTCTTTAAATACTAATAATATATTTATTATAAAATTTGAAGTGTTATTTTTCCACTTTTTAACCTGGAACAGATTTGGAAAGCTACAATTATCCTATTATTTTGTCCTCATTCAAGTAAATATATTTGAACTTCTTTCGGTTCCTTTAAGAAAACGTCCTATTTAACACAAAAATTATATTTTTAATTTATGAAGATATATTTAACAATTCAAATTGTATACGGTATCATTACATACGATTAAAATACTCTTAATTAGTTTACTTATTAGTATAGTGGAGGAAATTCTTGTCATTCACCTTAACAACGCATACAAAAATTTTATTTTTCTGACACATTTGCAAGACCTACAAAAAAATTTTTTTTTAAACTGATTTATTTAACTTGGCTTGTCCAAAAGTCAATTTAACGCTCAGATTAAGACAGTTACAATGTATTAATTATTTAAAAATGAGATTTTATAACACTAGGGGATGCTATTAATCAATCGTTTATGGTATTGTAATTAAATGCTTTATTAATTTAAGATTGTATTGATTGTGTAGAAGAAAGTATTTCAAACAGAATTTAAATTGGAAATGTTTGTCAATGTAAAACAGGATATTCTGAATATGAAGTTAAGGAATAAATCTGTGGAAGTATTACTTTTAATTCATTTTAGAATGTCATGCAAAATGCTTAACATGTTTCTAACCCGCTGACGGATCTGAAAACTAATATTGTCTTACTTGTATTCCTGGATAAAATCGTGTTGTTTCAGACACTTTTAAATGTGATTGTGAAGTTAATTATAGTGATTTTGGGGGCATTTTAGAAGTTTGTGCTGGTAGATTAATAAATTATACATAGTTTGTCATTATACATGTGGAAATTGTATTGGTGTCGAAGCCACAAATTGTTCATAATGCTCAGAAACTTCTAACAGAGAATTAACACCTTTGGGAGAATGTTTATGTAAATAATCGTATTTTGATGATAATACTGAAAATATAACATGTTAAAGTACTTAATTGGATGTGATTAATAGAGTGTCATCATTCTTGTTTAATATGTGCAAGCAGTACTGAAAAGGATACATGTTTAGAATGTCCTTCTAGTAGAACAGCTTAATCATCAGGTAGTTTCTTCGAATGCTTTTGTACTGATTCAAATACATTTGATGATGGATTTTCACTATAATGTCAATAATGTGATTAATCCTGTAAAACATGTTTTGGTCCACTTTCATCTAATTGTTTAACATGTGATACAAATTATAGATAACTGGAATTATCATTTTGTGTTTGTCCAATAAATTATTATGATATTGGATAATTAGAGTGTGCAGGTAATTATTACTTATTATTAAAAGAATGCCATTATTCTTGTCACAGATGTTTTGATAATAATGCAGAAAGTTGTATAATGTGTTCTTTTGACCTTAATCTTAGGGTTTTGAAAGGTAATATATGTAAATGTGTTGATGGATATTATGAGGAAGTTGGAATAGCTTAATGTTAAAGTAATTATTAAATTATTATTATCTATTAGAATGTGCATATAAATGTGAGACATGTAACATTCAGCCTGATAAATGTCTGAGTTGTCCATTAAATTCAATTCGTAAACTTGATCCAATTAAAGGATGTTATTGCCCAGAGGAATACTTTGATAAAGAAAATGAGATAACTTGTCTAAGTAAAATAAATATAAATTAAAGAATGTCATTTCAAATGTAAAACCTGTTAATAATTAACAAAATATTCTGATCTGGATGATCAAAAATAAGAATTTTAGATTATACATATAAAATGATTTTAATAATTCCATGTAATAATTTAAACTACATAAAATTGATAACATTTAGCTTGGTTTTATGATTTAAATCGAAATTCATTTTTAGAAAATAATCAATATTTATTATTCACATTTAATTAACACTAAGAAATTAATTTTTTTATTAATTTTAAGACTAAACTTCCTCATTTTTTATTCTCTGATTTTCACAACATTTTAAGTATTAAAATTTGATTATGTTTTTGATAAGATTAATTCTCATCATGGAAGTATTTGGATTTAGATTTTACACAGAGTCACTTTTGAAAATATTTTTCTCAGCTAATGATCAAAATTGTCCTGAATTACATACATTTATGCCAGTATTAAATCCATATAAATGTGTCTGTAATTATTAACTTTATTTATAGCTTATGCTTTGATTTGTAAAGGTGTTACAGAAGTATTAGTAAAAACTGAAGTAAATGGTACTTAACATCATTGTCATCCCAGATTTTAACCATGGGGAGCAGGGACTCCAACTCTAGAGTAAAATAGTATTCATTGTGGATTTTAATAAGGCGTTTCGCTTGTAATGGAGTAGCTACCAGACAAAAATTATAAATATTATTGTAAATGTAAGTATAAATGACTATTATTTAGATTTTGCAGATAATTCACATAATAATTGTTTGATAACCGCCTATCAGCAAGGTTTATTTCGATGCTAATTTTGTAAAGGTCCATTTATTGGATATGGTTTTGGTTGTGATTTAGTTTAATGGTTTTACGATGACAGATTTATAAGTCCCAATTAATTACGTATTTGTAAAGGATAGTGTTCCAGATGTTATTCTGATTAAACGTGTGAATAGTGTTTTTTAGGGCATATAAATAAACCAATGGATAATTTATGCTCTTAATGTACTTTATAGCAAATTATATTTATATGATAGCTTGTGGAGGACATACAAATTGTTATTACAAAAGTGATGGTTATTTGTAAAAAAGTGAAGCTTGCTTACCTGGATTTATGAAATAAAGTAAAAATTGTTTCTGTAATTGTATTAAATGATTTGTTTTAGCTATTTCGCCTTGTATATCTGCTAGCCCATCCTCTATAAGTGGGTACAATTGTGAGAGTTGCGTTTAAGGATACTTAAAATAAGTTGGATATGGAAGTGACTATCGCTGCTTTCGAATGGATTGGAATTGCGACCCCTCAAGATAATCAATGATATTTGATTATTAAATTCGCGAAAGTAAGTATTATTATACAACATGTACTTTATGCGATCCTAATTATTTTTACTCGTATATAGAAAAAAAATGTGTAATTTGTTAAAGTGAGAAAAATTTAATGGTTATTGATGATATCTGCAAATGCAAACCATTCTATGGTTTGTTAGAAGGAATTTGCACACTTTGTGCAGATGGATATTGTCATAATTGTGAAGGTGATGATTTTTATTCATGTATTTCATGTAAACCAGGATTAAATAGAATAGTAATAAACAAGCAATGCGTTTGTTAACCAGGTACATACGACCCTGAAAATGATGATTAAATTTGCATTTGTAAATTTGTTATTGATTTTTAGTCTGTGATAAATCTTGTCAAAATTGCTTTGGTCCATTAATTTAAGATTGTATTGATTGTGTAGAAGAAAGTATATCAAACAGAATTTAAATTGGAAATGTTTGTCAATGTAAAACAGGATATTCTGAATATGAAGTTAAGGAATAAACCTGTGGAAGTATTACTTTTAATTTATTTTAGAATGCCATGCAAAATGCTTAACATGTTTCTAACCTGCTGATGGATCTGAAAACCAATATTGTCTTACTTGTATTCCTGGATAAAATCGTGTTGTTTCAGAAACTTTTAAATGTGATTGTGAAGTTAATTATAGTGATTTTGGGGGCATTTTAGAAGTTTGTGCTGGTAGATTAATAAATTATACATAGTTTGTCATTATACATGTGGAAATTGTATTGGTGTCGAAGCCACAAATTGTTCATAATGCTCTGAAACTTCTAACAGAGAATTAACACCTTTGGGAGAATGTTTATGTAAATAATCGTATTTTGATGATAATACTGAAAATATAAAATGTTAAAGTACTTAATTAGATGTGATTAATAGAGTGTCATCATTCTTGTTTGATATGTGCAAGCAGTACTGAAAAGGATGCATGTTTAGAATGTCCTTCCAGTAGAACAGCTTAATCATCAGGTAGTTTCTTCGAATGCTTTTGTACTAATTCAAATACATTTGATGATGGATTTTCACGACAATGTCAATAATGTGATTAATCCTGTAAAACATGTTTTGGTCCACTATCATCTAATTGTTTAACATGTGATACAAATTATAGATAACTGGAATTATCATTTTGTGTTTGTCCAATAAATTATTATGATATTGGATAATTAGAGTGTGCAGGTATTTTAATTATTATTAAAAGAATGCCATTATTCTTGTCACAGATGTTTTGATAATAATGCAGAAAGTTGTATAATGTGTTCTTTTGACCTTAATCTTAGGGTTTTAAAAGGCAATTTTTGTAAATGTGTTGATGGATATTATGAGGAAGTTGGAATCGCTTAATGTTAAAGTAATTATTAAATTATTAATATCTATTAGAATGTGCATATAAATGCGAGACATGTGACATAAAACCTGATAAATGTCTGAGTTGTCCATTAAATTCAATGCGTAAACTTGATCCAATTAAAGGATGTTATTGCCCGGAGGAATACTTTGATAAAGAAAATGAGATAACTTGTCTAAGTAATATAAATATAAATTAAAGAATGTCATTTCAAATGTAAAACCTGCAAAGGAATTGAGCAGAATGACTGTCTCTCCTGCAATTCTATTTAACATAGAGAACTTAAAAATAATTTATGTTAATGCTAGCCAAATTACTTTGAAATGGAAGTTTAAGAATGCTCAAGTAACCATTAGATCTAAAATAGCTTGTAGCCCATTGTGTTATGAATGCATTAACAATTTTTAAAATTGTACTTCATGCAAAGATGATAGATATTTAGATGGAAATACATGCAAATGTAAAACCAAATTTCATGGAGCAGCAATTAGTACATTCGATTTTAATGGAATGCTTATATGCTAGAGTATTATAACAAATAATAAATAGAATGCCATTATTCATGTGGTACATGCATGGGAATGGATGAAGGAAATTGTATTACTTGTATGGATACTGATAACAGATTCTAAGTAGGAAATACTTGTGTTTGTAAAGAAGGATACTTTGATACAGGATTGCCGACTTGTGAAAGTATAAATGATTGCTATAAATAGAATGCAGTTATAAATGTAAAGGATGTTAAAAGTATTCTGACAGATGTATTTCTTGTCAGGATAACAGTTTGAGATTATTAGTTTCAGGTTTCAATAGATGCCAATGTATTCAAGGTTATTATGATGATGGATAGAATGATGTTTGTTAAAGTATACATGATTTCTAATTATTAAAGAATGCCATTTTTCATGTCTCAAATGTAATGATATAGATACAAAATGTGAAATATGCTCAATTCAATCAAATAGAATATATAATGATCTGCTTTTTTCATGTGATTGTAATATTGGATATTATGAAAATGGAGTTGAAAATTGTTAAAAATGCCACTATTCATGTTAGAGTTGCAATTCTGGAGATGCAAATTCGTGTATTTCTTGTATAGATGTGAATACTACTAAAAGAGTATATTATAATAATTAATGTAAATGTTTATTTGGATATTTTGATGATGGTTCATCAATATCATGTTAAAAATGTGATATTTAATGTTTAAATTGTATTGGATAATCTTATTAATGCTTATCATGTCCTTAGACAAGGAAAATAGAAATAAATTGTAAATGCTAATAGGGATATTACGATATTGGCTTATAACTTTGTTCAAAATGTAATTCAAAATGCCTGACATGTGAAATCATCTCAAATAATTGCACATCATGTGATCCTAATTAATTCAGAGAAATTAACATAATAAATAAAACCTGTGATTGTGAAATAGGTTATATTGAAATAGATGGAATCTGTTAATAATGTCATTCCAGTTGTAAGACATGTTCTTAATCTATAAATTAATGTTCTTCTTGTATATAATTTAAACACCTAAAAAATTATGATTGTAATTGTAATGATGGTATGTATGAATTAAGTAGTGATAAATCATGTAAATTATGTGATAAGACTTGTTTAACTTGTGCCATTACTAATACTTATTGTTTAACATGCTCTATTGATAATTTTAGACAATTTAAATA